TAACTGGACTACCATCTACCGGTGAGAGGCCTGAGTTGTCCACCAATGAAAAAAACTTCATTGTTAAGAAGTTCTTCAAGGGACGCACTGAAATTACATATCAGCAGCTGAAGAATAGGATGGAAGAATACAAGGCTCCAAATAGAGGTGATCCAGTACAGGGTGTCAAGCTTGCATCTCTGTACTACACACAGTGTGTCCTGCTTTCCAGAGACAAACGGACCAAAATAAACCCAGAATTTTTTAAATGGATCGATGACTTTGAGAGTTTCAAGAAGTACCCTTGGGCGTTGGAATCATACAATTCGACCGTGACTCATATGAAGTCGCTAATGGTAGGCCAACCGAAGTTTTTTCAGGAAAGCAAGAAAGACGATCCTACGTACGAAAAAACGAAGAATACGATGTATGGTTTCCCGCATGTCTTACAGGTATGATCCAAATTAAACACATCTACTTAGTATATTTAATAACAAAATTTATCACTACTTTTTCCATTTGTATAGGTTTGGGCGTACGAGAATATACCGAACTTGGAAAAATTAGCCGCTACAAAAGTAGCTGAAGAGGGTTGTTCCATGCTTAACTGGAAAACAGAACGATATTTTCACGTTGCAAAGCTTCACGAAAAAGTCTTCTTTGAGGTAATTATACTAACTCACATCGCTGTATGGAGACAAAATCTGTGTAATCCCTTGCTCAAAGTTGTTATTTTTTGTTCTAGGAGAGTGTGTCTGCTGACGAAGCTGGGGACGAATATTCGTTGGGACATTCGGTTGTGGTTGAAGAATTAAAAAAACTAAGGTTGTGTATTGAAGGTTTGGAGTCTCGGTTGAAAGTTGTTCAGGACAGTGTTGTTGAAAGAAGGCGCTGGTAGTTGCACGCTTTGGAAAATCTGATAAAAACGCTGCTGCGAAACCCCTTTCTGGAGAGGATGAGGTAAGCATGTATAACTTATTACTTATTACTAATGTCAGTGTGAACAGATGCTTCAATTTATATTGTTTGTGTGTACCGGCAGTAATACTTTTGTGAATTTATAGGTTGTTGCTCAAGGAAGCCCCCCAATTCATGAAGAAGGTTGTCATACTCGTGTGAACCCCATTGCTGTAAAGGATGAGGTAAGCATGTATATGTTACTACTTATGTGGAGAGAATGAGGTAACCATGTATACGTTACTACTTATTACTAATGTCAGTGTGCACCGATGCTTCAGTTTATATTGTCTGTGAGTACCGTAACTAATACTTGTGTGAATTTTCAGGCTGTTGCCGAAGGAAGCCCCCCACTTGATCAAGGACCTTCTCATACTTATGTGAACCCCCTATCTGGATGAGTTAATCATATGTATCCCTTACTACAAAATTAAAGGACGAAAGTTTGCCATATCTGTCCCAGTTTCGCTTTCAAACCTAGCTAGGCTTGTATTAATATATTTAGATTAATTCAATCATACAATCTAGGAGGTTAGCTATAACAATAGTTCTGTATTATGCATAAACGATGGAGGAGTGCATGCCAACGGTGAAATATAACTCTCATATTTGCGGGGTGTATTTTTTTTGGTTAAAGACATGTAAATTACAATCATTTTTTGTTGTTTCTATACAAATTGAGTTCCAGCCTGTTGGAAAAGGAAGCCCCCCAATTGATCAAGAAGCTTCCCATACTTGTGTGAACCCCCTTTCTGGAGAGGATGAGGTAAGCATGTATAACTTATTACTTATTATTACTGTCAGTGTGCACCGATGATTCGGTTTATATTGTCTGTGAGTACCGATATGTTGCTACATGTGTGATTGTGTGAATTTTCAGGCTGTTGGCGAAGGAACCCACCCACTTGATCAAGGACCTTCCTATACTGGTGTGAACACTCTTTCTCAAGAGTGTCATACACTCACAAACCTCATGCTCTTCAGTTCTGAGGTAAACTTTGTGTATGTAATCTTAAATATCTGTACATATACACTATGAATGAGGTTGTCTAAAAATAATGTCTGTACATATCTCAAATTCAAGGTCTGAAAATTAAGTACACGGTGTGATAGTATGTAGTTATTTTTTTTTAATGTGTAGTTCGGTGCCGATAAATTTGATGAAATAAGTGAAAAGGCCCCATTTGAAAATTTGGACTGGGCTGAGGTCGATGAAGAAGGTGGGTCGGCTACAATAGATGTTCTGGTGCTTGAAGAGTAAAGCCGCAAAGCAAATCTTAAAAGAAAAAGAAAGTGCTCTGAGTACCGGTGTAGCCCATTCACCGATCCTACAAGAAAGAGGGCCAAAGGACAAAACACCGACCCAAGCCCAACATTTGTAGACATATGTGATGATGAGTGGCTACAGTTGAAGAAGTGGGTTGAAGAGGATGACAACCTAGAACCAACCGTGGTTGTACTTGCTATTACGGGCTATAATCAAGGGAGCCACAAGTTTTTCCGAGACCTGATTGAACCGGAGGAGTGGTTGTCGAGTGAAGTAAGTAACTAGACTACAAATATTGTGTGAGTATACTAAATACATTATCCATGTAAGTAGAATTTATTGAAGAGTAACTTTTTTACTTAATTATTTCAGCACATAGACGCGATTTGCTCACTCATACACAAGTCCGTGGTGAACAAAAAAATTGGCCCCATTAGTCCCTACTTTACGGTATTTTACTTATTCAATATGATGAACTAGTGTAACGTGTTAATACCAATCCAACATTTCATTTCATTGACTATAGTGTTTTAATGTAGTATAAATTTCTGAACAATGACATTAAAGTTGTTGAGCACTGGGCAGAAGACATGTTACTTCCACGAGTTAATTGGTCAAGTTTTGAAAAGGTAATTATGTGAAATGCCGGTGAACCTTTTATTTATGTTTGTGTGAAACAAAAGTTTATGTATTCAAACATTTGTTAACTGTCTGTGTGCACCAATAGTTTCTGTATTCAAACATTTGTTAATTGTCTGTGTGCACCAACGGTTTCTGTGTTCAAACATTTGTTACATACCATTGTCAATAGGTTTTAATTCCATTGAATGTGGATGGTCTACATTGGATCTTGACGGAACTTAACTTTTAAGCGAAGGTGGTTAGAGTGTATGACTCTTTGCGGAGTGCCAAATCTAAATCAAGTGCCCATCATCTATGCATTAGACTACCGTATTTACTTAGTGTGATAAAATGCTTCGAGTCTGCTGCAGTTTCAGATGGGTTCAAACCATGGCCTGTGGAGGTAGTTCCCGGTGTACCGCAACAACGAGGGTATCTACTTTTTCACCCATGTTATTGGCTATGCAAAATATAACCAAAATGTATGCAAACCACAAAGTACATACTTCGTATTATTGTTTGCTTTTTCAGGAGTGCGGAGTGCGGAGTGATGACGATGGCATTTGCAGAGCATTTGGCATTGGAGTATCCTTTGACACCCGGATGTGACTATGACAACATGTTGAACATGAGATGCCAGTTTGCGGTGCGCTTATGGCGTCTCAAGAAGACTGATGTTTGACACCGTTTAATTGACATTATTAGTGTACTTGACATTATTAGTGTATTTGACAATATGTTTTGTACAATAGTGTTGCGCTTTTTGTATCGGGTTGTACACTGGAATGCCAAACTTTAATGCTTCCATATTTTGTCAACATTTTCATGTTTTGGATAAGCAACTGTTAATAAATTCAATTGTTACAAGGTTACAACATTTTCATAGTTTTAGTAAAATATTACTAAATTCAAACTTTACTAAATTTATTATCATAGTGTTAGATTATTATCTAGCTATATTAAAATTGTTAGCACTATAAATTGGTTAAAAGTAAGAATATTTTAATGGGAACATAATGTTAGATAATTCCAAAACTATCACCAATTCAAAATAGTGAAACAAACTATAGAAATAATTAGAATGCGTTAGATGATGTTTTTGCATTAGTAGGAGGGTTAATACACTTGTGTATTAAAAGAACCATATGAATCGTGGAATACACTTGTTTGTGGTATAACATAGGCTCCTAAGCAAAAAGGTGTGCACAATGCATACACACAATATGTGCATTTACAACACAATCAATGTTATATTCAAAATATTCATTGCAAAAAACATGCACACTACACGTGCAATTACAACACACGCAATGACATATTCAAATCTAAATCTAAATATTGAACACTTGAACTTCCGACCTCATGTCCAACCTCAACAATCGACGAAGCTTGGCCCTTTTATTTGGTAGCCCGTACCTAATAAATGGAAAAAGATTTGTTAGTGCACATGAAACGACAATCAATATTCATATATAAGTATAAAATAAACTTACAGTTTTGGTTTTCCTTCCCTTTTCAAGGCGGTTTTTGCGGGGTGCACGTGAGCACTCTACTACCTCGCTAAGCAACCATTTTGCATGGAAGGTTGAGGTTTCAAACAGTTTTTCAACCTACTACCTCTTTTGCCTGCACGTGAGCACTCTACTACAAACGCGATCAAGTTCCCTTCTTTATCCTTCTTTGAAGTGCGGTGTCTAACTGGAAAGCCAACACGTTTGGCTACTTTTTGTAGAAATCATAAACTGCATCTTTTGTAGGAAACTCCATGCCTGTCTTTGGAATTTGTTCACATTCATCACCAATGTTATCTCCATCTGTTCACATAATCAAATAATTATATTACATTAACTCATTCATAGATACGACAATAATCTTTTCTAGGTATACATTATATTAGTAAGGTATATATTAATAATATACAGTAAAATAGTGTACGAAAGTTTTCCTACATTTTTCATAAAATGTTGGATGAAATATATATTTAGTCCACCAACTACTATATGGAAATGTGGTTGTATTTTTAAAACTATGTGATTCTATAAATGGCCTACCTATATTTCTAACTTAAATATTTGTTGTTCTCAATGACTTCAAAATTTTTATTTCAAAATAGTATAAAACAAAACAAAAATGACTTTGAGGAAGAGAAGCCTAATATTATCGTTTAATCGTTAGGTTTGTTGTTCTTCCAAATTTGGGATTTTAGGGTTTTTCAAAATTTATAGCTTTTAGGCCAAATTTGTTGAGTAATACGGAGTATCTTATTCTTGTTGCCTATTATGCTTGTGTGAAGTAATACGGGTTTTTACTCAGTATATAGTACTCCATAGCATTCTGCTACTTTGAGTGGTTTCCATGGGTTTCTTCATTATTTGGCTCCTTCAATTATATTGGCTTTGGCTTGGTTTCAAGTTTACGTTTGAGTTAGATTACAGCGGAATGCTTTGTGCACCACGATTTCTCTGTATAGTAACATCTGTAAAGGTATGAATCACATTAAATTAATCTGTTTTGTAGAAGTTCACTTTGATTTTCATCACCCATCTGTGTTTGACTCCTGCATTTTGAAAATCCAGTTTGATACTTCTATAAATTAAAAGAAGTCAAAATAAGTGGGGAAGTGTAACTACTCTATCTTAAAATCTTATAATGCCCAATGAGAGTGTGAGTATTTAAGGAATGAAAAAAATGTTGGTGTAAATGGCTAGCTTAATTGCAAAATACATTATGTTTAAAGGTATGTACTTTATTAAAAAGGACTTAACTCTCCGTTTTAATTCCGTAGGTCGTTCCCATCCGCTCCATCGGTCTTTCAGAATTCCACACTCCCATCGTTTCCGTGGTGTGGCACTAAGCCGCTAACCATCCAGGTATATTTTCTTTCCGTCTTCTCTGCTTGGCCGGTAGTGCACTTTGGTCATCTCCTTCTTCATTAATACCCCACATGATTGTCATTAATACCTTGCAATTGAGTTTATCATTGGCATGAACTATGAGGAGACAAATTATTTGGTCTGCCGTACATTTGGGTTAGTTTGTATTTTGGCTTAGGAGCATCTTACTTTATGTCTTGTATTCGAATTATTATTGAGCTAAACAACGTGTTGTTTGAATTGGTTTCAAGCAATTATTTTAAAGCAGCAAGATGGTTTGACTGGAGAGACAAAGATTGACGGGCCTTTACTTGTTGATCCGGAGCCTTATGGGCGACTCCTTGGTCGCCTAATTTATCTTGCAGTCACGCGACCCGACTTGGCCTATTATGTTCATATTTTATCTCAATTTATGCAAGCACCATGTCAAGCTAATTGGGATGCCGCCCTTCGGGTGGTCCGGTATCCTAAAGGTTCCCCGGGTCAGGGTATTCTTCTTCGGGCTGACAGTGATTTTTCACTGACTGGATGGTGTGATTCTGACTGGGCTGCTTGTCCTGTCACTCGAAGATCTTTGTCTAGATGGTTAGTATTTCTTGGCCGCTCTCCGATTTCCTGGAAAACTAAAAAGCAATCTATTGTTTCACGATCCTCGGTCGAAGCTGAGTACAGGGCCACATGTGAACTTAAATGGCTGAAAGCGTTACTTCTTAGACTAGGCATTGAACATACCAAAGCTGTCCCTCTGTTTTGTGATAGTCAGTCTGTTTTGCATATTGCTCGCAATCCAGTTTTTCACGAACGAACCAAACATATTGAGGCAGATTAAGGACGGAATAATAATAACACACTTCTCTTCTTACGATTGTAACATGGTATCAGAGACAAACCGATCCATAACCATGGTGTGGGTCCCTTATGAAAAATGACGACACAATTATGAAAAATGAAAATGACGAATGACAAAAAAAAAATGACAGCACGATCCAGACGAAGTGTCTGGTCGTGAGGAGGGGCGATAAAGTCCCACACCGGTAAATTGCCAATTAAGAAGGATTAGAGTGCTATATTAAGTTCCGGGCTACTCCTCCTAACAGGTTGACCTTTTAGGATGGAACCTCGGGTTTTAACACACATGTTCACAACTGATTAAATACACGTGACAACAATCCAGCAGTTGAAATACTAAAAGTAATAGATTTTTTGGAATAGGTTTGGTGATATGTTTTTCCATGTCATTGCTATTCACTGTTACAGTTCAGAGTCGTAGTCTATTAATATACATGTACACGGTACTTTTCATCATCCTATCACAAGTAAAACCACAATCCAAACTCGAATCCAACAATCCTGGTTATTTAAAAAAAAAATAGTTTGTGTCATTTTGGCAATTTAGTTTTTAGCAAAGGGAGTTGGAAATAAAGTAGCACTTGAAAGGAGAATAACCTTAGCTTCCCAGAAATAGAGATCAGTGACAAAGAGAGGACTTGATCATGGTCCTCACCTCTGTATCACTCTTATCCGTTTTTCTTATATTTAATCTACTACTCCGAATTAATTAGACGGGAATCAAAACCGCCTTCCTATCATGTGAGGTTTTAAGGGCAAATTATATTATAAACTTGGGTGTACATGTACACCCGGTTTTTAAATGACATGGCAGGCTGAATCATCTGTTCGCTCCCAGTTGCTTTAATTTCTTATTCCGCCGCCATCGCATATAAGCCAAGAGCAAGGCTTTGGAAAATCAAATTCGGTAGTCCAGTTCAAATCTGGATATCAAAGTCACGCACTCACGCTGCCATGATAGTTCGTTTTACACAAGCAGAGCAAAATAATAAACACATACGTTTCCTACATACTTGGTTTTCTATAACCTTTTTAATTTTGCGTTTTTGATTTTATGTTTTTCGTTACTCTTGTATTTTTACTTTCTTTTACTTTGTCTTTTTTCTTTTATTTCATTTAATTTCTTTATTTGTTGTTTCCTTCCTTTTTTGCTTTATATATTACTTCGTAAATACCAAGCATGTTAGAAATGAGTTTTATTTTAAACTCAAATGAGTAAAATGCCTAAATAAAATGAACATACACAAACGAGCTTTTGATTTTTTGAAAACTCATTTTGTAAATGATCATTTAGTACATTTGTTATGCTCATTTTAAAATGTTATATCAATGCATATTACTCCAACCTCCGTTATTGAGTATTAGAATCGTGTGTTTGAGTATCATGATTAGTGGTCTCATCTTGTAAGTTACATAAGCTCATTTGTATAAGTTTGATGCTCATTAAAAATTCATTAATGCTCATTTAATAGAAATCATGATTTTCATTAATCTCAATAGAGGGGTTTGATGCTTAATGAAAATTTTGTGATGCTCAACTAACAAAGCAACTAACAAATTCATTAATACTCATTGTGCAAGTTACGTATGTTCATCTGATACTGATCATATGCTCATTTTATAAAGTTGCATATGCTCATTTGTACAGGCATGATGCTCATTAAGAATTCATTAATGCTCATTTAATAGAAATCATGATTTTCATTAATTTCAATAGAGGAGGTTTGATGCTTATTGAAAATGTCGTGACGCCCAACTAACAAAACAACTAACAAATTCATTAATACTCATTTTGTAAGTTACGTATGCTCATCTGATACTCATCATATGCACATTTTATAAATGACATGTAAAAAGTTCATATTTCAAAAGTATCATGATACTCAATATTATACATTTAATACTCAACAGAATAAGTGTAATGCTCAGTAAAAGTTCATGAATGCTCATTTGACAAAAAACGTGATTTTCATCTCAAAAGAAGAGGTTTGATGCTCAATGAAAATGTCGTGACATTCAAGTAATAAATCTTACGATTTTCATATTAATGCGCATTTTGTAAGTTGTATATGCTCATTTGATACTAATGTTATGTTCATTTGTAAAATGTCATATAAACACATATTTCAAAAGTATCATATCACATTAAAGTCGTATATTGAAATTCATAGGAATTGCATGTTTATACATAAAATTTAACAAGTTTCTATAAAAGAAAAAATAACAAAAAAAAAAAATGAATTAGAAGTTGTGAAACAGAGACCATGATTCTGAATATTAGACTCCTAATACTCAACATAATAAGTATGATGCCCATTAAAAGTGTGATATTGCTCATTTAGCAGAAACTATGATTTTCATCTCAAAAGAGAAGTTTTGATGCTCACTGAAAGTGTCGTGATACTCAACTAACAAACCTGACAATTTTCATATCAATGCGCATTTGGTAAGTTAATTTGCTTATATGATACGAAGTACTTTTGAAATATGCATTAATATGACATTTTACAAATGAGCATAACATCAGAAGCAAATGAGCATACATAACTTACAAAGTACACATTGATATGAAAAACACAAGGTTTGTGAATCTAATGTAAAATAGTACTTTAAACCAAATGCATTGATATGACATTTAGAAAATGAGCATAAGATCAGTACCGGATGAGCATTTAAACACTTTCGATGAGCATCATGCTTATTTGGTTGAGTATTAGGAACTTAACAATGTGAATCTAATGCCATATGCAACTTTTAAAATTTGCATGAGTACGAGATTTTAAAAATGAGCATAATATGATTGCAAATTGAACAAATGTAACTTACAAAATGAGTATTGATATGAAAATCATATTTTTTTAAGTTTGTCTTCGAGACATTTTTATTGAGTATCAAACCTTCTCTATTGAATATTGAAAACATGCAATTGAGTATTATGGTCTGTGCTCCTATATCTATAACCATCTCCTACATGAATCTAAAAAATAAACACAAACATTTAATACTATTTTATTTTAAAAGTAAACTGAAACATTTAATTGTATTTTATTTTATACATTAATTTAATATAGATTTAAAGTAGAAGTTTTCTAAAAAAGGAGAACAAACAAAAAACAAAAAAAAAAACAAATGAAAAGAAAAAAAGGAACGTACGAAGTGGAAGTGAAATAAGGACAAAAAAACGTACGAAGTGGAAAAGTAAGGACTAAAGATGTACAAGAGTGGAGCCGTAATTGAAAATTAAAAGGGAGTTGCTCCAGCGCGTCACCCGATCAAAGTTGCAACTAATTGCAAAAATACCGGATGTATAGGTACATCCGGGTGTACGATATAGGCACTCGGTTTTAAGCATACAAGTTTAAAATATAATCTATTGTTTTATATAGTAAAGTTGAGTTATAAAACAATGATGTGTCATTCTCTTATTGGTTAACAAATTTCTTTTATCAACATTATTATTAAAGAAAATCTATGCTTAATACTCCGTATAAGGCAATTTTTTCGCAGTAGAAAAAGACGGAGTACTTTCTTATGCTTTGAGTTCAATTCTATCACCATTAAACTTCTTATTATGTAGTCATTAAAATTTGTTATCCCATTATGATCAGTCCGTATACCGTGCAACCGGAGCATGGTGAGCACCATGCTCTACACCCCAAAACGACGTAGTTTTGATCAATTTTAAATAATAATAAAAATTCGCGTGAACAGTACACGCGTGAACAGTGCACGCGTGTACAATGTTTTTTTTTTCATCCCAGTAGCATGGATGATGTAATTCGCGTGTAAAGATAGGTAACTCGAGTTCTTGATCAATGTAACTCAAGCCCAAATGAGATGTAACTTGTCAAATACATAGTATACGAAATAAAACATTGATTTCAATGTAAACAATGAAAAAGAGAGTCTAATTATTATAAATGTAAGAGGGTGTCGATCTCGCTACCAGGGTGCAAAGTACAGACAGATTGTTACGTGTTTCCATTAGGAGGAGTGGATGTGATACTGGGAGTAGCATGGCTTGCAACCTTGGGAGAGGTCGGACCAAATTGATAGAAGCAGAAAAAGAAACCCTAGCAGACGGTGTTAACGACTGCCCAGCCTTAGGCTCAAACCAAATCTTTATTCTCGATAATGAAAAATAGTTCACAAGACCTCCTTAAATACTCCTTAACCTAGTAATAAATTATGGCCATCTAGGCCCAACAAGCTAATAATAAAATATGGCCCAACAGTTTAATAGAAATAACAATTGAATAAAATAAACTAATAAAACCCAGCAGTTAATCCAGCCCATCTAGGCCCGCTGGCGGCGACGGTAAACCAATAATGGGCGAGGCCCATCCTCCTGAAGTATTGGACCCTCCTGGGCCATCGGCACAACTGTCTCCTGCTCTCTAACAATAGTCATTGGGAAACAATGACTATGTCATTTGATTGGCAGGGCAGCCCGGTAAGATTGAAAGGAGATCCAGCACTATGTCGGAAACAGGTGGGATTGCAGGCTCTACTTCGGACGAGGGATGTGGAATTTTGGGCCATTGTAATGGAAAAAGAGCCTACTACGTTGTTGGGGCCAAATGAAGAGCAAGTGGCTGATGTCTTGCAGGAATTTGAGGAAGTATTTGGGGAGCCACATGACCTTCCCCCGCGACGATCTACAGACCACCGAATTGAGTTAGTCCCGGGAGCGGGCCCGGTATCTGTCCGACCGTATAGGTATGGACACAGCCAGAAGGATGAAATTGAAAATCTTGTGTCAGAAATGTTGATGGCAGGCATCATCAGGCCAAGTTCCAGCCCGTTCTCAAGCCCAGTTCTCCTGGTTAAAAAGAAAGATGGTAGTTGGCGATTCTGTGTGGACTATCGGGAATTGAATAAAGTGACTGTTCCAGATAAGTATCCGATTCCAGTGATACAAGAGATGTTAGATGAGTTATCTGGAGCCGTAATTTTTTCAAAAATTGACCTTCGAGCTGGATATCATCAAATCCGGGTGGCTGAACCGGA